ACCTTCACACCAAATTTCAAGTCTTAGGTCACCTTACGTCAGGAGTTATTGAGGTCAAACTGAGGTCATGTTCGAGCAAAAATGAGCAAAAAACATGCAATCTTGAAACGCTCACCAAATCTACAGTTATCAAGCAATTTCAAAGTTCTTTATATGGTCTAGAAGACCAAAACCGGCGCTACAAAACTGTTATCTCGGATTTTCAAAATTTTTGGTTTTTGACCCCAAAAAATTCAAAAAATTGATTTTTTTAGAAAAACTAAAAAAAATCCAAAATTTTTCCGAATTTCGAAAAAACCGGAATATATGTGATAGTCCCTGCGCTCTTCTATCTACATACTAAATTTCAGATCAATATCTCGTTTTTTGGCCAAGTTATAGCGAAAAAACTGTTCAAAAATTATGACGTCAAATTTTTGAACTCAATTTTTAGCGATTCTAGACCACGTACGGCAAAACAAAGACCACCATTGAACTCCCCGTGACGAGCTGCATCGATTCGATACCACCCATTTTATGCAAAAAAAAATATTAACTTTGAAATTTGACCTAATTTGACCTGACCTTGCCCTGACCTTGACCTGACCTTGACCAAAACGTGACCTAAGCTGGCCCCAAAGGCTGCCTGACCCACATAATCACATTTGTCATGTAAAATGGACCATAAAACATGTATCACACGACACTTTCAAATTGTGACCCCCCGTGACCTGACCTCTGTGACCTGACCTGGTATCAGTGACCTCAAATAGCAAAATATTTGTTTGAAGAACATGTATATAAGATCTCTATGGCGATACTCGGTACAGCGGGTACAGCGATTCACTCGACCTGCACGTGCCAAATTTATCGGCGATAACTCCTAGGTACAGATGTACACCTGTCGGCTCGTACTGCCGCAGCCCGGTGCCGGCTCGCCCCAATTACAGCTCTGGCTACCTCCTCCGAGAATTCATGCTGTCCGGCAGAGACCGCAGAATTCTGCGCTATAGCCGTGCCAACAGTAGGGATGAGCTCTCCTTTTCTGAGCAGGGCTGCAGAGTTAGGCTGAAGGGACTGCGAGTGGCACTTACACCACTGAAACACTGGGCTACCTCATCATCAGTGCGAACATCGCCATATTTCACCTGCGACACGGAGGCTTCTTATCAGGGAGCGCGCCGGCGTGCATAGAGTTCTCGTTACTAAGTAGCATAATTATTGGGTAAAGAAAATTACTGGTTCATTGAAAGCAGCAGCATTTCACTGCAACCGAGAATATAAAAAGCGGTGTAGCATATTGAAATGATGAGGATATAAAAAGACGGAGAGTGAGAAAAGAGTAGAAATCAGAAGAATGAGACAAAGAGAAGGAGGGGGAAGGAGAGAGAGAGAGAGAGAGAGAGAGAGAGAGAGAGAGAGAGAGAGAGAGAGAGAGAGAGAGAGAGAGAGAGAGAGAGAGAGAGAGAGAGAAAGAGAGAGAGAGAGAGAAAGAGAGAGAGAGTGAGAGGAAGAGAGGTTGTTTTGTAGTTTTGTCGTAAACGTTTCTGTGATCTGTTTTAGGTTGCACAGTTAACCTCTTCACAGTTCGCAGTAAAGCTCCGACCTATCTGAAGGAATGGCGCGAGCAACTTCATCGTTCGCCATTTCCAACTCGGCAAATAGTTTTTTTTTTTCTACCCAGGTCACTGTCTGTCAGACGATTCTATCTAACCAGCCTCTGCGAAACAAGACTAATGGTTAGACGTAATAGACGGCGAAGCAGGGCTATGACTGATGTGTATGAGGTATTTGTTCAGGTGCGGGCCGCACTTCCGTGTGAAACCGGAACACAACTTTACCGGGCACTCCACTTATCGTCAAGTCAACATCTTCCTATGATCCGGTTTCTTAGCAAGAACCCCGTTGTCCCCGTTTCACTGTTGTCTGTTTCAGCTTGCATTTGCAGCTTAATTTCAGCTTGCACTTTGTTAGAGTTTTGAAAATCAGCGTGGCTTGGCTCGCGTATAACGGCAACTAGGGAGAAAATGCATTGATTCAGCGTGGTAATGGCTTAGTTTGATTGTTCGCAATAGGGATGTTCGACATCCCCATTCAAATTCTCGATGCGTGAATTGAAAAGACTTACCTAAGCCACATCGATTCACGATGCGGTACATTGAAAAGACTCATGCTTTTGCACAAGGTGGTGCATTTTTTTTTTAAACGGTGACAAGGCCACCTATCTGTGTATTCTTTTGTACCGTGCACATAGCTTCATTGTCTCAGTTAAGTAGTCAGTATAAGCTGAAGGATGGGCACAAATAAATCATTATTATATTGAAATGAATTGGGAAAACTAAAACCATGGAAAAAATTGAACTTTAACCATCGCCCATGTAGGGGGGGGGGGTTGGTGCAACCCCCCCCCCCCCTGAGGTTTTTCTTAGCTACACGCCGAACCGTTTCAGATAGCCTGCTCAAATTTTCAGTACCCTTTGGGGCATCCTTTGCACAACTTTTGGTAAAAAAATGTCAAGGTCATGTCAGGTCACGGAGTTATGACGTCATAAAGGGAACAACCTCCGGCCAGATTTACGCTAAATTGGAGATTGCTTCACAATGGTATGTATAAATGCCGACTGACCTGACACACTGATGGATTGTTTTAGAATCATTACTGGCTGATTTGACATTGGCACAATGTCCGTTGACCTTTTCAAGGTTACTAAAGGTCAAGGTCAGGTCAGTGACCTCGGTTGACCTGTAATGACTTCTTGCACTTGTATGCCTTTTCGGGGTATTTTGATGCCCTGAATTCGAATTTGCTATCCATTTCAGGCATCGTCAGTTGTTTCTTGTAGTTCATTTTGGGTCAGGGTCAGGTCAGTGACGTCACACGCCTGACGTGACCCAATGCACAAATGACCTTGCAGACTTCCGATGCTCCCAACGCATCATTTTTAGAGTTATGACATCGAAATACACACCAAACGATAGAGAATTGATCAAGGATCACGACAGTGAAGGTTTCAAGTCGATATCTCTTACCGTTTTGCCGCAATCGGCGCGGAAATCTGAAAAGGTTAGATTTTTTTTCGAAAATTTGACCTTTGACCGGTCATAAGTGGGTCAAATGTTGACCTAGGACCAAAAAATATACCACCAATCGCGAGATCTCGTTGAGAGCAATCCGTTGGTCTTTTCCGCTAAGCTCTACGACGCTCCGTTTTCAAACGCAAGGGGGGGTCGCACCAACCCCCCCCCCTGCATGGGCGAAGGTGGCAAAACACCGTTTACGGGCGAGGGTTAAGCCTGTAGCACGACATCAAACAGGCAAAAAATACTAATGGAGACGTTCAAACGTACTATAACTACAGGAGTCGAGCGGCGACGGGCGCTCAGCTGATCAGAGATCAGATTCGTCAGGATCATTGATTTTCTTTTTTTTTTTGAAACGTACGAATTAGGTTTGCTAAGAATACAGATTGACCATGAAACAACATGTAAGTAAGTCCCCAATGCTTTCATTGAAGACGTTTCTCTGACAGCACTCTTTGACGTCTGACAATGCATGCTTAAAGATTTCTTATTCAATCAAGTTAGTTATGCGTACAGCCCTCGTCTCACTGCGTGGTATTTTTTTTTCTCGACAAAACCGAGAATAACTCAAGGGCTATGGTATCAGTCGATCGGAAAGCATAACCGGCCCAAGCGCGATGCTCTACCTACTCTTTCGATTAGGACTATTATTAAACAAATCAGTGCGGCAGAAAAGAACAAAAGTTTGTTCTGGGGGCGAATATAAATTTCGTACATTATTACCGGCAAACTGGGGAGTGGGGGGGGGGGGAGAGAATTTACACGGTTATGAGCTTGATCTATGGGGCGGGCCTCACGCGTCTCGGTGTTATGATATCGGGGTGACCGATAACATTTTCTTCGAGGTATTCTCGAATCTCGGTTTTGTCGAAAAAAAACCTAGCTACCAAGCAGTGAGACAAGGGCTGTAACTACCTAAAATTTGCTTATCTAATATTATAACTATTAATAAATTTGCATCCTTCTCCTCCCCCCCCCCCCCCCACACACACACTTCCTAGCACCTTACCCATTACCTACCAATACAGTCCCCTCGACTGCATCATCTGAGTGATCTCACCCTCTCTCCTCCTCTCTCATCTCTCTCTCTCTCTCTCTCTCTCTCTCTCTCTCTCTCTCTCTCTCTCTCTCTCTCTCTCTCTCTCTCTCTCTCTCTCTCTCTCTCTCTCTCTCTCTCTCTCTCTCTCTCTTCCCTTACACACCCACGCACCTCGCCAGTTCATCAAGGACGGCCGATCAATAATTCAACAGGGCCAGTGTACCAGTAAAAAGGCTTCCGCGCTACCACCACCGCGTCCAAACAAGCACCCGCTCCTATCGATAGGGTATGTCGCGCACACCCAATCACCTAAAACTACCCGACGACGAAAAACAACAGTAAAACACCCGGACAGGACAGTTATTCATTTGGTATTTACTCGCGCCGGGAACTGTCGCCCTGTGGCGACCCGTTTCTGCGCAGTCCTGGGCCTCGACAGGCGACTGGGCGTGCCTGCCGCCGCCACTAATGGACGTGGGAGGTGACTGGGGAGGACTGAGGACCATGTGCCGCCCGGGCGGGGCGGGGGCGGGGGCGGAACACATCCACGCACGGCCGGCGGACCGGCGGCGGACGCCGTACCGGCGCCGCGGGACTCGGCCGGCCCGCATTTTCGGCGGCTGTTGTCGGCTGTCATTGTGCGGCACTGGCCGGCATTGTCTGTACCGACTCCAGACGACAGTCGCTAGATGGATGACTGCTTATTTCTTACCGACGCATAACAATAGATTGCCGAGGCTCGGCCCACCGTCGGCGGCCGGCCGGGCGTCAGCCAATCAGAGCGCGCCGCCCGGCCGTGTCGCCGGCGCCGACCAATCAGCGCCAGAGCTCGCCGCGATTCTGAAGCGGGCCTGCCTCACATTTCTGTTGATGACTTTTGTGGCGCTGTGGAGATCTAATTCGACTGGCGATTGTGAGTGAGAGAGACGTGTCGCCGCCAGCGGCTGCCGCACTCGCTCCGACCGGCCGCCCAGACGCGCAGCTCAGAGACAGACGCCAGGTGAGGGGCTCACACAGACGCACGCTGGAGGCCCGCGAGCTACCGGGCGGTCCGAGCGCCGCCGCCGCTGCAGGTATGGACGGAGCTGCCGAGAACGGCGAGCGCTCGCCGCCGGCCGGCTCCGGCGGCTCGTCTCCGCCGGCCAGCCCGTCGCGGCTCGGCGCGGCCGGCAGCCCGGCCGCCGGCCTGGCCCGGCTGCCGGCAGAGTCGCCCACCACGCCGTCGCACTTCCAGTCGCCGCCGCGCTCGCTGCCGTACCCGTTTTTCGGCAAGCCGCCGGCCGGTATGCTGGCCGCCGGAGGTATGTTACCAGAGTACGGCGGCCTGCCGTCGGGCGAGCGGCCGTCGTACAGCTCGCCGCCGCCGCTGCCCACCACCGACCCCAGCGCCAACGAGTGCAAGCTGGTCGACTACCGCGCCCAGAAGGTGGCCGCCTTCATCATCAACGGCGAGACGATGCTGTGCCTGCCGCAGGCGTTCGAACTGTTCCTGAAGCACCTGGTGGGTGGCCTGCACACGGTCTACACCAAGCTGAAGCGTCTGGACATTGTCCCGGTGGTGTGTAACGTGGAGCAGGTGCGCATCCTGCGCGGCCTGGGCGCCATCCAGCCGGGCGTCAACCGCTGCAAGCTGCTCTCCATGAAGGAGTTCGACGTGCTCTACAAGGACTGCACCACCGCCAGGTGAGCGGTCCCGCCCCTGCCCCTCGGACCCTCTCTGCCCACCCTTCATACTCGATCTGTGCTTCCCTTACACCCACCCTATCAGCCCCTCACACCCGCCAGACCCTTCTAGCAATGCCGTGAGAGTGCGGAAATAAAAGGGCGCTGGGAAGGGTCTATGCTTTGTAGTAATTGCTGTCTGCCTTACGTGTTCAGTGTAACTTATTTGAAGCGGGAGCATCCAAAGTGACAAGGAGCTGTATTATGATTACCATGAACATGAAGGTCACTTTTCGGCCATCATTTCAGTTAATTCCCCATAGTTCCCTCATCGGATTGTTATATATATCCGTGATTAAGATTGGCCAATGCATTTCTTCGAACACATCATATGACTGGGTGATAAAAATATTTAAAATGCCCAAAGTGCCAGTAAGCTGTTTTACCTTTCAACCTAATACCAACGCTAATAAGTGCATGCATAATGAGCGTGAGCTCGTTTAGCGGCGTTAAAGAGTAAACATGAGAGTAAACATTTCAGAGCAGCTCTTGGATTGCCAAGAGGCTGGTTGTTAAATCTGACATGAAATTGCAAGGTTTTAACTGAAAGTGTGCGAATTGCATTTGGCCCAAGGGGCGCGAAGAAGCAATGTTTCATGTGTCAGCTCGTCGTTTGCAAACTGACAAGTGACAACTGTATACGCTTCATGCATGATCATTGCTATCTGCTAGTGATCTTTTTTTGACAAAATGAAAAGTTCCAAATGATCAAGAAACGATTTTTACAAGTCGCATGTCGAGAAACAGTTGTAATGTGAGCAATCACTTATAAGGTGAAACGCCTTATTTTGCGCAAATAACATGCATTTCAAGATGTCATTATGCTTTGTAGAAGGGCGTAACTATTTATTGTCATTTAAAAATGGGCGATATGCGTATTGCGCATGCCTCCTTTCCATCCTAGGCTAAATCAGCATTGTGTGCAGTTAAAGCTACACTTTACACACCGTTCTGTGTGGTTAAATACCCGCGCGAAAGTGTGTGTTTCGCCCTCCGCCCAACCGTTCACGCACATCAGAGCCATTCTGCTCAGCGCTTTGGCAGCGATTGTCGCTAAATGGCCGGCACTCGGGACTCGGAGGGGGCAGATTACCTGCGAGCCACCCCTAAGTCGGCGCCGCTCACCCCGTCAGCCGCTAAGGCGGCCCATTTGGCTCGGAATGGTATCAAGAATGCGTGGTAATGCGGCCGGCACGGGGGCGGAGCGGCCGGCCGATCCCCAGTCAGCACCGAACACAAGACAGACGGCACGTCGCACTCTAATGACCGGGTGAGCCGGCAGCACAGCTCGCCTCTCAAGATCTAAGAGCCAGCGGGAAATTGTTCTGTTTGTCGGTGCGCGCCGACCCCGCCCGCAACAGTCGGCCAAACATTTAATCACCGGCTGCCGCAAATCGAATCCCAGCCTCATGGATTCCTGTAAAAACAAAACCCCCTAATTTGCCGCAGCCCCGACAATTACACAGCTGACCGGTGCCACTTTTTCTCTGCCACCTTCGCCAGCTAACAATCGTAAAGAAACCCGTGACAACCGTAAAAAGTCGTGTAACAATGGTAAGAATGCGTGGCTCGTGTGGGTCGGGCGGCGGCCGGTCGGCCGGGCGGTGGAGACTCGGCAAAACCGGCCGCCCGCCGCCGTCGACCGCCGCTCGCCGCCGCCCGCGACGACTACTTGTTGCGTCGCCGCTGCGCCGTCTACAATTGCGGCGCCGGCTGATTTGATCGGTCTGTGGGGAAGGGTCGAGCCGGCGACTGAGTCAGAGCGCTGCCAGTGCCGCCCCCGCCCCCGCCCCCGCCAGCGCCGGATATAGCCTGCGTCACTTGTAGCCAGGTGTGGAGCACGACTGACGAATGGGGGACGACGATATCGAACATGGTTACGTGGCGCAAATTAAATGGTTCAGCGCTTAGATTAAGTATTGGTTACTGGCGCGCAGCGAAACATGATCGCTAATTGTTACAAGTGAATTGGCTTGTTGCAGCGTGAAGGTAAACAGAACAATTATCCAAGTTGATTGGAACGCTCCTTAAACATAGTTCGGTATGTTTTATTGGCCAGATGATTCAGCGTATCATAACTTATCGCTGATTATCCGTGGTGTTCATCAACTGCAATTTAGCATGCAAAATATGGCGGTCATATTTTGTGTCAGCACTTGTCAACGGCTCACCGGTCGCCGTGGGTCGGTCGGGCGTGAGTGTGTCCTCCAGCGGGCCTCTCTCGGTCCCGCCCAGCCGAGTCGGCCCGGCCTCCCGCTGAGTGCCCCGTGCCTCCCGCTGACCCCCCGCCGGCGGCCCGTGCCCGTCAGATTTACCGCTGACCGGCGCGCCGCGGCCCTGCCGCCGCCACCACATTTGTCGCCCAGAAGGGGTGGCCGCCGCCGCCCACCGTTCACCTGTACCCATTCATCAGCCCCGGCCCGGTCGGTGCCGGGTCCCCGCGCCGCGGTCTGTCCCACCGAGTCCCCGCGCTGTCACCAGGCCCCGCCGCCCCGTCCGCGGCCGGCCGGCGCACCGGTGCCTCCGCCGCGGCCCGCCGCCGCCCGGCCGTAATTTAGGGGGCCTCACGCGGTGTCGGCGGCGGCCCAGCGCGCCCGCCGGCCGCCGGTGCTCTCTGTTGATTTCTAGTAGAGCTGTTATTGTTCGGATCCATGCTGGTTTAGTGCGCCACCGTTAAAACATTGAATTCGGCGCCCCGCTGGAGTCATGCCGCCCCGAATGCATTACGGCAGCGGAGGTGTGGGCGAGGGTTAGAGGCAGAGCGAGAGACCGAGAGGGAGTCGGATGAGGAAGGGGCAGAGCTTGAGCTGGAGTGCTGAGGGCACGTTCTGCCTCACTGCTGAGCTGTCAGGGATGGATGTTTAAAGCGCGAGGCTGGGCAGTTCGTACGTAGGTACACGTTGAAACGAGGATACCTGTCATTGTTAGCTTTGAATGATTAATTACTGTTGGAAAGGAATAAGTTGATTTTCATGTGATTTAGTTTACCTCCAATTTCTCCTTGTGATTCATGCTTAGAAATACTTAGATTATAGGCACATAGTTGTCACTCAACTTTACTGCTTTTCAGTTGTGAATGCATCACTGTAATGCTTTCGTTGTGACTGCTTAATCATTAGGTAAATTAAAAAAAAAATCAAATAGTGTCTGGGAGAACGGCACTCGAAGCATCAGAAAGCTAATTGCATCATGTTTAGGCATTCAAATTGAAGCCTGTCTAAAGCTGGTTTCAAACGAAGGGTAACTTTTTATTTGTAAGGGCACAGGGGATTTGGGTTTCCAATACGTTCGGTTTACAGTGGGCGGGTGTTAAATTTGTCCGGTGCACCGGAGCGCCTCCAACGTTAATTTTCTTTCCCGCAATTTGGGGCAAAAAGTGGGCCGGCGGAGAAGCCCTTGAGATTGTGAGCCGCCGCGCTCACTCTTCACCTGGCCGTCGGGAGTGTGTCCGGCGGCGCGGCGGGTGTAGCCAACTGCAGCTGCAGTGGCTGGGAACGGGCCGCCGCCCGGTCCCACCGGCGCCCTCTCAGGGGCAACCGCCGGCAGCCATCAACCGCTTCCGAGCGACGTAAATGTCCAACCAAATTTACAGTCACACATTCGCGTTAGTGTTCAGTCGGCACCATTTTGTAGCGCCGCTCAGTATAAGACAGTGTCTGTTGACATCCCGTGACTGTTTTGCGGGCTGGCGCCCGCAATCGCGGGCCGATTTGGAACAAAGCGTGTCGGTTTCGCCAGTTTGGCCGCTTCTGCGACGGTGGATTGCCTGTGTGCGCCGCTCGCCGGGGCCCCTGCCACTCACAAACGCAGTCGTGGCGGCACAATGCCATGCACTCGGAACAATCGTCCCCTCATTTTTCGCCGACACGTGATCGGCTAAAGAGTTTCGAACGCCATCCATTGTCCGTTATGACAGCCGGCAACTAGAATATGCTGATTAAGGATGGATAGGGGGCGAATAAAACTCCCATCCCCGCGACCAACGAGGGGAACCTGGCCGACAAAAAACGAAATTATATAACTGGGGTAGCCGGGGACCAAAGATAGAATAACACGAGCAGGGCCGGGCATCGACAAAGGGAAGCGCCCGCTCGCCAGTGTTGTTTTCATTTCAAACTCTTGAAATTAGGCGACGACGGGCGGAGAGCGGCGAGGCGTCTTGATGAGTGTCGGTTGTCTCTGCCGCCGGCTGCCGGTGCCGTCGTCGCCGTTCGGCCGTGCCTAATTACGATATACGACAGACGGCAGCTGCCGCTCAACGGCGCAACTTGGCCGGCCACGCGCGTGCGTCTGCGAGCGGAGGGGAGCTGCGCTGACCCCCACCGGCCGGCAGCTCGTCCGCATACCTACCTATCTCGAGCGAGATGATTGTGTTTTACCGTATCGACTGGGGCGGGCAATACCACGCCAAAATCCTAAGCCAATTATGAGCCGCTCGGTACGCGTATGGCTCGCCCGGTCGATCCTTTTATTAAAACGACACAGCAATCAGCGTTATTGACATTTTGATTGTACTACAAGGCGGGTATCATTTTAATTCCGCACAGCGATTCAGCTGCGGACTTAATCCAACGTTATTAAATGGCCAGCTATGGGTGGGGCGGCTCAAACCTGCCGCTCTTATTGCTGCCGCGCATGCGTTGTCCCCTGCCTCGTCTCCGTCTATCTGCCGTTTGGGTATTTATTCCGATGGGGGAGGGGCGAGAGCAGCTCACGAGCCTTCTGCGGCGGCCGGCGCCCGTATCTGACGGTTTCCATCCATTTCAAAATTTAGAATTTAAAATTTCGAAAAGTTTTAGGACGAACCAATTGAAGGCGCTTACAGATCCATATAAAGTTAGATAAATAGTACAGTAGGTACTGTTGCTTAATTTTACGGCCAATGTATTATCATGTGATCCTTTGTTCAACACTTAGGTATATGATAGGCAACGATCAAAATGCCAGGATTAGGTATTTTT